GTATAGTCCTGGTGGGGACAGGTCTGTCACTGTATAACACTGGGGTACAGTACTGGTGGGGACAGGTCTGTCTCTGTATAACACTGGGGTACAGTACTGGTGGGGACAGGTCTGTCACTGTGTAACACTGGGGGACAGTACCGGTGGGGACAGGTCTGTCACTGTGTAACACTGGGGTACAGCACCGGTGGGGACAGGTCTGTCACTGTATAACACTGGGGTACAGTACCGGTGGAGACTGGTCTTCACTTTGTAACACTGGGGGACAGTACCAGTGGGGACAGGTCTGTCACTGTGTAACACTGGGGGACAGTACCAGTGGGGACAGGTCTGTCACTGTGTAACACTGGGGGACAGTACCAGTGGGGACAGGTCTGTCACTGTGTAACACTGGGGCACAGTACCGGTGGGGACAGGGTCTGTCCCTGTATAACACTGGGGTACAGTACTGGTGGGGACTGGTCTGTCACCGTGTAACACTGGGGGACAGTACTGGTGGGGACAGGTCTGTCACCGTGTAACACTGGGGTACAGTACCGGTGGAGACTGGTCTGTCACTGTGTAACACTGGGGGACAGTACCGGTGGGGACTGGTCTGTCACTGTGTAAACTGAAGTGTTGGTGGGGATAGCTGCAATGTTGCAAAGTGTGTTTACTGTTTGAGGTTAGATGGTGCATTCATCATTAGAGGTAACAGGTGTGCTGCAGGAGTCTGAAATAACTCCACAGAGGCTGGTATTGTGTCACCAAGTCACCTGTTACTTACGTGTGGAGAGTGCTTGACACTGATCCAGTTCCCTCGGAGCGAGCTGTCAGAGTGAACAGAACCTCTGATACTCCTGTTTCTCTCTGTCAGCCAGGGCTCCCTGATTGGACCAGATTAACAGCCCCAGTCAGGGAACTCATATTCAGTGAGGTCTTCTTGGCTGACCTTGTTATAATCACTACAGCGATTGTGTGCATGCAGCATGGCCATTCTGATCAGACAGGGCTTCAAACAGTCCTCAATCCCAACATGATTAAATCCCAGAGATAGTAGGAACTGCAGATGCTGGAGAATCCGAGACAACAAGGTGCAGGGCTGGATGAACACAGCAGGCCAAGCAGCATCAGAGGAGCAGGAAGGCTGATGTTTCGGGCCTGGACCCTTCATCAGAAAATCCCAATTGTCCTGCTCCTGTATCCCCTACACCATGACTGTTCCTCACAATCAGTCATGTACACAAGGAGCTTACCATTGATTACCGCCAAGTGTCCACTTCGATAGTCTACTGGTTACCAAGGCAACCTGTTGGCAGTTACCAGGACAGTGTATTTGATATGGGGGTGATATGTAGGACTGCTTCAAATTAGTGGTGAAATTCTGCTTGTCAGGGTCCAATCAGGGCTAACATCACTCAGTGAGAGATTTGAGGTTACTGGAAGAAAGTGTTGAATATCGATTCGATGACATTGTGATGTGCGGTACAAAGTGGAGAGTATTTACAGCAATGAGTGCTGCTCCTATTCACTGTCACATTTCTGTTTATTCAGTTCAGTCTTGGAATTTGACCATTTCTGGCCAGTATTTATTGGCACAGTGGTAGTGTCCCTACCTTTGGGGCAGGAGACCTGGGTTTGAGTCCCACCTGCCACATTGATGTGTTGTAACATGTCCAAACAGGTTGATGTAAAAACCCCTTATTGCCCATCCGTGATTGGCTGGAGAAGGAGTCGGTGGGCCCCCACTGTGAACTGCAGTCCTTGTTGGAGTGTGTGTGTAGGGACACCCACAATGCCATTAGGGTGGGAGGTACAGGATTTTGACCCAGCAATATTGAAGAAATGGTGATATATTTCCAAGTCAGAGTGGTCTGTGATTTGGGGGTGGTGGTGTTCACATGTATCTCCTGCCCTTGACGTTCCAGGTTGTAGTGTTTGCAGCTTTGGAAGGTGCTGTTGAAGTTACTGAGATCCTATAATTTGCTGTTAATTCCAGCTTTCCGTTCCTATCTGTTAAGTGGAACTTTAATTTTACTAATCTGCTCCTCTGGATTACCACAGTGCAGTGTGACTGCTGTAATAATTCACTTCATCGTCATTCAGTCTTTTGAGGTGGGATGACAATGCGGAGGCACTAGTCAGGACTGATTTATTTCTCCCACATCCTCTGACGACAATGAAACTTATAAATATGAAGGGTTCACAGGAGATTCTCCCTGCCTGATTAATGTACTATTTTTCATCTTTGAATCTTCTGGTTAATGATTGCGTGCATCAAAGCTTAGCTTTCTCAATCAGAACAGCCACATTTACCCAGCCAGGCGTACTCTAACACTAATGATGTGAACCCATTATAAGGAACCCATGTGTTCAGTTAATTCAGTACAGACTGAAACTAGAGTGGGCAGGTGCTGTGGCTCATATTAAACCAGCGAGGAATTGTCCCCAGGGACCAGCAGGAAACTAGTTTCAGCAGATTAACCTTTGCCATGAACTCCTTCACAGACTTAGTGTCATATCACCTCAGACTCTGTGTGCAAAGCCTAAGGATTGATCTGAGTCAGGAACAACAGAGTTACATTTATTTAGTACCTGTTATATCCTCAAAGTTTTCGAAGAAGATTTATTTTGGAATGTAGTCTCTGTTGATTTGACCCTGCAACTAACTGCAAGATCAATGAACCATGAAGCTGGTGTTTTACTTGCCTTGGCTGGGGGTTACTATATTGGTCAGGACACTGGGAGAACTCTTCACACTTTTCCAGCTAAGTGCCCTGGAATCTTTAAATTTCAGCACAACAGACAGACAGGATCACAGAAAACTAGTATCAACAGCAAGATGTGCAGCATTTGAGAACTGTCGCAGTACTGCCCTCTGGAATGCAGAGTGAAGGTACTGCAACTCCCTCTACACTGTGCCCATCCAACTCGCCCAGGACAGGGACAGCACAGGGTTAGAAACAGAGTAAAGGTCCCTCTACACTGTCCCCCATCAAACACTTCCAGGACAGGGACAGCACGGGGTTAGATACAGAGTAAAGCTCTCTCTACACTGTCACCATCAAACACTCTCAGGACAGGGACAGCACAGGGTTAGAAACAGAGTAAAGCTTTGTGCCTGTGCCTCTCACCCTCCCATATTGAATGTGGTTTGATGAGGTTTTTCAGTTTGTACTGTGTATTTTTGAACAGATGATGTTGATGTGTTTGCTGCAGAATAGTGTTTGGATGTATAACATGCTTTACATTTAGGTTTCTGTGGTTTCGCTTTGCTAAATTTGTCTTTGTGTGTTTCCTACTTGCTCACTCTACCTTGGATGGTTTATATTTGACTTTCAAAAAAATGACCAAATTCGCACATGATTTCATGAATCCGTTTGGACAGAGCAAGTTGTGGGGCTTTTTCGGAATGCAGCTCTGCTGAAGGCTGCTTCTTGGTCTCAGCCCAGCACAGTAAATGGCCACGTGTATCAGTAAGCTTGGAAACACATCTCGTTTCTGAGAAATCTTCACCGTAGGCACAGTGTTAAAGATATTGAAACATTGAGGAACTCGAGTGAAACTGGAGTCAGTGATATTCAGGGGCCAAACTCTCTGCTTGCTGGAGTCATGCCTGGTACATAGGAAGATAGTTGTGGTTGTGGGAGGTCAGTCATCTCAGCTCCAGGACATCTCTGCAGGAGTTCCTCAGGGTAGTGTCGTCGGCCCTACCATCTTCAGCTGCTTCATCAATGACATTCCCTCCATCATAAAGTCAGAAATGGGGATGTTCGCCGATGATTGCACAATGTTCAGCACCATTCGTGACTCCTCAGATACTAAAACAGTCCACGTTCAAATGCAGTATTGGTGTGGATAATATTCAGGCTTGGGTTGACAAGTGGCAAGAAACCTTTGCACCACACAAATGTCAGGCAATGACCATCACCAATAAGAGGTGGTATAACCTTGACATTCAGTGGCATTACCATCACTAAATCCTTCACTATCAACATCCTGGGGATTACCATTGACTAGAAGCTGTTCTGGACGAACCATATGAATACAGTGACTACAAGAAAATGATAGAGGCTGCAAATTCTCTGATGAGTGACTTACCTCCTGACCACCATCTAGAAGGCATGAGTCAGGAGTGTGAGGGAATACTCCCCACTTACCTGGATGGATGCAGCTAAACAGCAGAGTGACAGATGGATTTTAGTTTAGATAAATGTGAGGTGCTGCATTTTGCTAAGGCAAACCAGGGCATGACTTGTACAGTTAATGGTAATGTCCTAGGGGTACCTGTGCTTAGTTCCTTGAAAGTGGAGTCACAGGTAGACCAGGCTGTGAAGAAAGCATCTGGCATGCCTGCCTTTATTGGTTAGTGCATTGAGTATAGGAGTTAGGAGGTCATGTTGTGGCTGTACAGGACATCGGTGAGGCCACTTTCGGAATACTGTGTGCAATTCTGGTCTCCCTTCTATAGGCTATTGTGAAACTTGAGAGGGTGCAGAAAAGATTTACAAGGATGTTGCGGGGATTGGAGGGTTTGAGTTATAGGGAGAGGTTGAATAGGCTGGGGTTTTTTTCCC